TACTTTCGTTAATCCTAATATGTATCAGTTTCCCAAGCTGTTTTACAGGAGTGTAACTTGACTAAATGAGCTTTGTGTTTCAGGTCAGCTCATCAGGATTTACTGTGTTTTTTACCATGATGGTTTTGGAAAGAATTAACTTTTTTTGACATACAATTTGCGAGCAATATAACATATTTTAAAATAAAATAGCTGATAGAATTTTGAATTGAGTATAGTGTTTAAAATTAAAACACTTTGGGCACCTTAAGTTAGCTCAGTTGGTGAAGCATGTGACTAGACCTTAGGGTTGTAGGTTTGAGCCCCACATTGGGTGTAGAGATTACTTTAAAATCTTATTGATTAATTAATTTAAAAAATCCTTCAATGAAACATGGCAATTGCTTGTCAACTAATGTACTGAGCAAAGGCTTTCCTTAAAAAACTGCAAGTAATAATATACTAAAAATTCATATTCAGGAATCTTACTAATATTTCCGTATTTGGAACCCTATCAGTCACATCCCTTTCTACACTGTACTGTACCACTTAATGATTTATTTATTTTAGAGAACATGAGAGGGACCTATGCCAAAACCAAGAGTTAGTTTTGAATTCATGACCCTGAGATCACAATCTAAGCCAAAACCAAGAGTTGGACAGTTAGCTGACTGTGCCACCCAGTGGCCCCTACTTTTTAAAGTTTACTTTTAATTGAAGTGTAGGTGACAGTACAAAATTATGTTAGTTTTAGGTGTGCGTAGTGATTCAACATTTTATAGACATTATGAAATTCTCACCAGGATTAAGTGTAGTTAGCATCTGTCACCATATGAAGTTATAAAAATATTATCGACTATATTCCTCATGTACTTTATATCTCTGAATAACTACAGGTTTGTACTTCTTAATCCTCTTTACCTATTTGCTCCTCTCCTGCTGTAACTACTAGTTCTGTATATTTATGAGTCTGTTTCTGTCTTTTTGTATTTGTTCATTTGAATTGTGTTTTAGATTCAACATGAGTAGAAATAACATGGTATTTGTTTTCTCTTCTTTCATGTAGCATAGTACCCTGTCTCTGGGTCTGTGTTGCAAATGGCAAGTTTTCATTTTCTTTTTTTAATGTCTGAGTAATATTTCTGTGTGTTTATGTATATGGGTATGTGTATCATATCTTTATCCATTAATCTGTCAGTGCACCCTGAGGTTACTTCCATATCTTGGTTATTATAAATAATAGTAATAGTAAACATAGGATGTATATATATTCAAATTAGTGTTTACATTTTCTTGGAGCAAATACCCGGGAGTAGAATTACTGGATCCTAAGGTATTTCTCTCTTTAACTTTTTTGAAGAACCTCTTTGGTGTTTTCCACAGTGGCTGTACCAACTTCCATTCCCACCAACATTGCATGAACCTTCGCTTTTCTCCACATCTTGCCAAGACTTGTTATTTTTTGTCTTTTGGATACTGACCATTCTGACACATGTGAAGTGGTATCTCATTTTGGTTTTAATTTGCATTTTTAAAAAGATTTTGAGAGAGAAATCCTGAGTGGGAGGAGGCCCAGAGGGAGAGGGAGAATCAGACTCCCAGCTGAGTGGGGAGCCTTACCGAGAGCTTGATCCCAGGACCCCAAGTTAATGACTTGAATCGAAGACAGGCACCTAACTGAGCCACCCAGAGCCCTTAATTTGCATTTTTGATGAATATAGATGTTGAATGTTTTTTCATGTGTTAGCCATGTCAATGTCTTCTTTAAAAAAATGTAAGTGGGGCACCTGGGTGAACCCATTCAGTTAAGAATCTGACTCTTGATTTGGCTCAGGTCATGATCTCAGGGGTCCTGGGGTCGAGCCCTGAATCAGGTTCTATGCTCTCAGCATGAAGTCTGCTTAAGATTTTCCCCCCTCCCCACCCCCTCTTCTCCACTGCTCCTTCCCCCTGCTTATACTCTCTCTCTCTCTAAAATAAATATTAAAAAATGCCTATTTAAGTCCTCTGCCCACCCCCCCTCCTTTTTAAATATTTATTTGAGAGAGAGCCTGCTTGTGCTGGCATGAGGGGAGGGGGGAGGAACAGAGGGAGAAGGAGAGGCAGACTCCCCGCTGAGCACGGAGCCTGAAGATCTTGACCTGAATCAAAGTCAGACACTTAACCACCCGAGCCACCCAAGTGCCCCGTCTGCCCATATTTTAATCAGATTGGGGGGTGGGATGTTGGTGTTTTATGAGTTCTTTATGTATTTTAGATATTAATCCCTTATTGGATATATCATTTGGAAATATCTCCCCTCCATTCAGTAAGTTGCCTTTTTATTATTTCCTTCACTGTGTAAAAGTATTTTTAGTTTAGTGTGGACCCAATTGTTTTCCTTTTGTTGCCCTTGCCTAAGTAGATAAATCCAAAGAAATATTGCCGAGAATGATAGCCAAGAAATATATGTATATTTTTAAGGATTTTATCCATTCATTTGACAGCACAAGCAGGGGGGAGGGCAGTGTCAGGGAGCAGGAGAATCAGACGAGTCTGATGTGGGACTCGATCCCAGGACCCTGGGATCATGACTTGAGCCAGTGACAGACGCTTAACCAACTAAGCCACCCAGGCGCCTGAACTGCCTGTATAGTTGTTGAGTTTTATGGTTTCAGGTCAACATTTTATATTACATTAATTCCTTTTGAGTTTATTTTTGCATAGGGTTTAAGAAAGTGGTCCAGATTCATTTTATGTCTTTATGTAGCTGTCCATATTCTCAACACCATTTATTTTTTATTTTTTTAAATTTTTAAAAAAGATTTTATTTATTCATGAGAGACACAGGCAGAGACACAGGCAGAGGGAGAAGCAGGCTCCATGCAGAGAGCCCGACGTGGGACTTGATCCCGGGTCTCCAGGATCATGCCCTGGGCTGAATGAAGGTGGCACTAAACCTTTGGGCCACCTGGGCTGTAATAGGCACAGTTTAACAAGAGTATTTTTTTCCAGTCCATGAGCATTTATATATTTATGTTTATTTGTCTCCTTTTCAGTTTCTTGTATCTGACAGTTTTTTTTCCCCAGAGAACAGATCATTCACCTCTTTAGTTACATGTATACCTAGATATTTTATTCTTTTTGATGTAATTGTTAATGGAATAGTTTTCTTAAATTTCTCTTTCTGCTTTATTATTAGTGTAGAGAAACACAACAGATCTCTGTATCTTAATTTTGTGTCCTGCAGCTTCACTGAATTCATTTCTTTTTTTTTTCTTTTTTTGAATTGGTTTCTTTGAATAGTATTTTGGTGGGGTCTTTAGGGTCTTGCATATATGTTATCTATTTCTTTCTTTACAATTTGGGTGTCTTTTATTTCTTGTTTGATCACTATGGCTAGGACTTCCAGTACTGTATTGAATAAAGGTGGTGAGTGTGAATATCCTTGTCTCGTTCCTGATCTTCGAGGAAAAGCTTGCAGCCTATCACCATTGAGTATAATATTAGTTGTAGGTTTGTTATATATGGCTTTTTATTGTGTTGTGGTATGTTCCCTCTAAACCCAGTTTGTTGGGCAGCCTGGGTGGCTTAGTGGTTTAGTGCTGCCTTCAGCCAAGGGTGTGATCCTGGGGACCCGGGATTGAGTTTCTCGTCAGGCTCCCTGTATGGAGCCTGCTTCTCCCTCTGCCTGTATCTCTGACTCTCTCTGTGTGTCTCTCATGAATGAATGAATGAATGAATGAATGAATGAATAAATAAATAAATAAATAAATAAATAAATAAATAAAATAAAATAAAATAAAATCTTAAAAAAAACCAACGCAGTTTGTTGAGAGTTTTCATCATAAATGGATGTTGGATTTTGTCAAATGCTTTTTCTACGTGTATTGAGATAATCATGATTCTTAGCCTTTACTTTTTTAATTTAGTGTGCCAGGTTGATAGATTTGCAGATATGGAACCATCATTGAATTCCTGAAACATGGCACTTAATCATGGCGAATAATTATTTTAATGCATTGTTGATAACACTTATTTTATTATTTATTTATTTTTAAAAGATATTAATTATTTCTTCATGAGAGACACAGAAAGAGAGGCAGAGACACAGGCAGAGGGAGAAGCAGGCTGCTCGCAGGGAGCCTGATGCGGGACTTGATCCCGGGTCTCCAAGGTCACACCCTGGGCCGAAGGCGGCGCTAAACTGCTGAGCCACCAGGGTGCCCAATAACATTTGTTTTAATCTGCAAGTGGGTACCTAATATCCCCTAAGCACTGTTATGGTGGGGGAGGAGGCTTGGAGAAGTGTGGCATCCTCCCAGCCTTCAAAGAGTTTATCATCAAATTGAAGAGAGAGAAAATCAGTTGTGTCACTGCTTTGTCTTATGCCACAGTGTAACTGAGGAAATTATGAACATGTTTAAGAAATCATGAATACTCTCGCTGAATATCTTTTCTTAAATTCAGATGATTGTTTTCATGCTGTTGTAGGATCTGGACTCCAGATTTCTGAGTATCATGACTTGTTTGTTCATTGTTTTCTTTGTATCAGTCTAAGCTCATAGTTTGTCTTTTGGGGAACCCTATGATCAGATAACTATGCTGTGTTTTGCAATTTTAGGAGTAGGGGTTGAAATGTAATGGTGAGAGGCCAAGTCAAGTGATGGAGAGGTTTCTCGTCTGGATCTTGTGCTTGGCCATTGCCTGTCAATCCCAGCTCAAGCTCTGGGTCCATACAACACCTTCTCCTGGTTTTTGCAGCCTTTTACCTTTATTCCGTCTGAGAAAACTGGCTTCCAGACAAAGGAGAACTAGGAATGTCCTGTAATGCCATTTTTGGTTTAACCCAGAGTACAGGTTTTTGTCTTACAGATCTTTGATCTAGAAGTATTATTAAATTGCATTCTTGAAGCTAATACATTATTTTTAAGATTTTGACTGAACTTAGGAAGATTATTTCAGGCTTCATTTCTGGGAAACTTACATACTGGTATTGTTGGCTTTTTAAGCTTAATAAAGTTTTAAAATTTGTATTGTAGGAACTCAACAGAGGCAGTTATTATCCCGACTGCAAATTGACCCAGTAATGGCAGAAACTCTCCAGATCAGTCAAGGTTGGTAATAATCTTAAATTTTCATTGTAATCTAGCATTTTCAGTTGCTATTTCCATTTCTTACACCTCATTTAATGTATCTTGTATATCTTAGATCCTGCCCTAAGATGCTATACTTAGATTGTGAAACTGTTTTAGGGCCAGGAGACAAGATCTGCATTTTTTTCATGTTTTATGGTGTTTGTATTTTTTGTCTCATTCAAAACTTTCTTGCTTTGGTGCCGTTTTACCTGAGTCCCTGAAATCTGTTGGCGTCACTCCCCTGCTTTAGGGACAGCTTGAGTCCCTGGCCTGCCCTCCTTTCTACCTACTTTTCCAATGTCCTGAGCTGCCTTCCTGTCCTGTAGCCTGTTCAGCCTTATCCTCCCTTTCACTTCACTTTAGAATCTCCTCACCAGGACCACATCTTGTGGCTCCAAGAACTTGTTATTCTTAGAGCCACCATAGTTTAATTATTTGCCTGTCTCCCCTACCCTCAACACGGACCCCCTGCCACGGGCTGCTTCAGGGACAGGTGCCTTAATTTATCTCTGTCCTCTCAGCGCCTGGCCCCTGGCAGATGCATGTGTAGTCCCCAGTAAATGCTGCCATAATGAAGGGAGCCATGGGATACCTGCAATCTTAAATTCAGAAGCTTTCTTTTTTCCTGTTCCCTTCTGTTTCCCCTAAACCTGCCCATTGTGGAAGCTCTGGTGCTTGACCCCTCCCTGTGGCTCTTCTTCCCCTTTGGTCAGGTCTCCACAGTCAGTAGGTATATTCCCTTAACCTCCCTAGTTCTGTCTCAGAAGGAGGAACTTGTCCTCTCTCCAGGTTACCTTCCACCCAGATGCCAGCTCCTCCCCCATTGATGAATACTAGAGTGCCATCCCCACACCTGTAGATTTAGTCTCTGCCTCTCTCCTGGCTTCTCCTTTCTGCCTGTCAAAGTGTTTAGATACTCTCCATCCTCGATTTTGCCCTGTCATCTCAGCATTCCATCCTGCTTTGCACATAAGGGTATTTTCTTTCAAAATGTCTGACAGCTAAGCTCTGTGTATGTTGTATCTACTTCATTGGCACTTGCACATTCTTTTTGTTTCCGTTAATTTTTCTTTTTCTCCACGGTGCACATACAGTTTGAAGCATCTAGTTCTACGAGGCATATGAATGACTACATTCTTTGCTTATTACTTCCTGTCCTGGTTTTTATTTCTGAGAGCCCTCTTGTTTCTGCATATTCTTTTGCTTATTTTTCACACACTGACTTTATTTCATGTATGCAATACTCTCTGTTATTTCTTTCTTTGAGGATATTAAAGGTAATTTGGGATTATTCCCGTGTGCACCCTCTTCCCCCCCGTCTTATTTTCTCCAAGTTGTTTGTTTCAGTTGTCCTTTATGACAGGTTTGCCTCAGATGTCTGGGGATCCTTAGTTGTCTTATATTTATAAGTGGGACACTCAAAAAGCTGATTGGCATTCTGGGTTCATTAGGTTGGAGGGCTTTTGACTTCACATTTGAATACAGATTCTGGGAGGGTCATTTGTCTCTCTTAGGGGTACCCTGAAGTCACTGTCCTTAGGCTTTTCCTCTTGGACTGGTTAGCTTTTCCAAAGAAAGATCTTTCAAAGTAGTGAATCGGCTAAGTAAGGAATTAGGGGCTGAGTGAGGCACCTCAACTTTAATTACAATGTGATGTTTGCTTAACACCTCCTCCCTGTTTTTTGGAATGGTACTTCTTTCAATGTGGCTGGTGTCCCTTGGTCAAGAGACCCTCTGTTTTGATTTTTTTGAGACTCATAAGCTCCACTCTTCTCCAAGGGAGAAAATGATTAGAGGTTATCAGGGAATCTAAGTGCCTTTTAAAATTTTAATATTAAGTATACCTTTAGCTTATCTTGTAGCACTATTCTGTCAAAGACCATGATGCTTCATTTGTAGGCCTCTCCAACATTGACCAACGGGAAAGCAAGGCTCCAATTATTCTAAAAAACCTTGAATATAGAGGTAGGGGAACAAGTATGGTAGGGATCAGAAATGAAGAAAACAGATTTGTAGTTTAGGAAGACAAAACTACTTCTGAAATGGACGCTTGAACATGCCTGCATTGGCCTTGTGACACCTCTGCCTCTTCCCAAGGTCCTTTGTGCTGCGAGTTTCTCGGCCTTTGGAGAATCTTGAGCTCCACATTGAATTGCTTCATTATTGGCTTAAGACTCAGCTTTTGAAGGTTTTATTTTTTCATTTTCAAAATGTCTCCTTTTACAGTTATTTTTGAGTTTATTTTTGAGTTAATACAATTTTTACAGTTTATTTTTGAGTTAATACATTAACCCTTTATTGACATTTTAGTGGGGTTTTAAGAGGAAAGTAAATGCATGGGTTCAGCCTGCTGTCTGTACCCAGAAGGTGTCACTATAACTCTTGCATCTTTCTGCTTCTCCTTGTTTCAGGTGATAACGTGAGCCTCGCAGAGTTGACTAGTGGCTCATGTGGAATGAAAAGCTGTCTTTTCAGTGCCTGCTTTTCTAAACTCTGTAGTATGGGACGTGTCATTGCAATGTTTTCTTAAGTCTTTGTTTAGCTTCCAGAACTTCACTATCTCTGTTCTTCTCCTAATTCCATGTTCTCCTTTATCTCTTCCTTTCCTCCCATCCTACTTAAAATGTTAACTTTATCCCATATCCTACCCTTAGCATTATTTTCATTTCTTTTATATTCTCCTGAGATGCAAACTGATAGAACTGCTTTGCCTCAGAGGGCAGGGTGGTGAGAAGGAAGGCAGCAGCCTTGGACTAAATTCTGGACTCTCCCTTTGCTGGCTGGAAGCCCTCTGGGAGCTACTGAAGAGCAGTGAGTGGCATGTGGGTCTCCTGTAACATAGAAGGGAAGTGTGCTTCCTAGCTCCCTGTGAGGGATGGCGGCCCTGAACATGTGTACCTTGGTTCAGCACTTCTTTCACCCTGTTTGAATGCTGTTTCTCTTCTTACTCTCTCCTCTTAGTTCAACTTCTGAACATCTGAGAGCCCCACAAAGACTTCAAACTAAATAAATCTAAAATTAAAATTTATCCTTGCTGCCTTTTAAATCCTCTCCATCTCCTGTCCTGTTTGCTGGATCCTGTTTCTCTTTTTCTGCTGTCCTCCATTTGCATCTCTCTTTACCCTCTCTGGCCCTTGCAGACGAAGGCAGCTTTACTTTGTTCCTGGGATGGGAGTTGAAAATGTAACTGCTGTGAAGTGCCTGTGCTGATGAAGTGTGTTCATTGTGTCTTCTCTCCCTCTTGTGTGGGTTCAGATAGGACAGAGGTTGAGAATCTTTTAATTCATAGCCTCATTGTCAACTGTCAAACTTAATGTTTTTCTAAAAACCCATTTGATCAGGTCATTTCCCCACTTGGAAACCTCTCCTGATTCTTTATGACTTATAGATCAGAATCCATACTCATTGACATTCTTTATGCCTCGGCTTTCCCTGCCACTCAGCCCACCACACACATCCCTCCACTTGCAGCACATTTCTCAGCAGGTCTTAGATTCCTCATGTCTTATGAGAGTCTCTGCCTTTCTCCATGCAGTTTCCTCTGTCCAACACGCTCTGTTTCTTGTCTGGCTCCCTCTCTTCCCTCTGGTTATTCCTGTGTGTTCCTTTCACATCCGCTTCACATGTCGATCATCTTAGGCTTTGTCTTGATTCCCCAGCTGGAGTAGGTTTCCCGTATCCTCCCAAAACCTTGTTCTTACTCCTTTAGGGTTAGCGTTTAGTTTATGCTGTTCTGAAATTGTGTGTACATCTATTTTTCTTTTTTTTTTTTTTCTTTGTGTACCCAGCGCAGTGTTCAGTTCTCAGGTTTTTGGTTTGTTCAGTTAAATGAACATGAATGGACATCTTATGGATTTTGGTCTGTTATTTGCCTATTAACCTTAAGAGAAGCACAACTCATTAACTTTTGTCAGTTGATGGCATATTGATAGGTCAACCCTCTGGGCTCTTGGCATATTTTATAAAGTAGTCAGGCTTAAGCATATTATAGATGACATGAGCTGCAGTTATTTGCACTGAAGGTCAGTGTTTTCTTTGCTGTATTTTTTTTTTCAATGCCCGTTCATCTTAAATTCTTTTCCAAGATAGTCTGCATAGAAATTATGCCAGGAGAATTCTTTTCATCAAGATGTGTTCTAAGTGACACTGTGCTAACTGAAGAAAACATATCTTAGAAAACTTTTTAAGCAGTCTTTGTATCATAGTTCTAGGGAATATGAGAATTTTTCTTTATATTTTTAGAAAATATTGTTGTACTTAGAGTAAGTTTATATTCTTTATGTCCCATTAGCTGCCTCACATAAGAACCTTTCTGTACTGTAATCAGGGAGTGTTGATTAGAAGCCCTAGGTAATGGACCGTTAATGAGGAAAGGAATACTTCCTTGAAAAGATGTTTGGCAAAGAATTGCAGCGCTATTCCTGGGTAGAGCCGTTGGGATTTTTCTTTGAAAATAATTACAAATATATAAAAGATTGACATTCTTCTCACGTGTGTGATGTTGGGAATGCAAGGTATATTCAAAAGTAAACATTTATGGCCAATTTTTTTGGCTCAGATTACTATGACATGGAATCCATGGTCCATGCAGACACGAGATCATTTATTCTGAAGAAGCCAAAGCTGTCTGAGGAAATAGTAGTGGCATCAAACCAAGAGTCGGGGATGAAGACTGCAGATACCCTTCGGGTACTTTCAGGACACCTTATGCAGACACGGTAGATGGTTTCTTTTTCTTGTGTAGCTTTTTATGTTGATTAGCTAGTGCAGGTTAACCATTAGTTTCCCGCTTCCCTCCTCCCCATCCTAGCCCCCAGTGTAGAATGCTTTGAGTTAGTCATGAGGCCATGAATGGTAAGCCAAATTCAGTTTCCAGGAATTTCAGTTCATCTTTCTTGTTCAGAAATTCATTAACCTACAAATAAGTTGATGTATGATTTAGTTCTGTAAATAAGATTCTTTCCTTTAAGCACATTCAGGAAATGAAATGTAAAAGTCAGGTGATCAAAATCACGAAATCTCCACACAGAGAGTTAGATTGGGTTGGGCTGATTCTTCCCTTAGAAAATGGAATATTCTTTCCTTAGAAAATGGAATAAAGAAACAAACATACAGATAATAAAACCAGTGTAAATATAGAACTTTTGGCCATTGTCTTCTGAGCATAGATGCTGATTTTTCAGTTTATCCATGTGACCCTATGAAGATCAAATGGACGATGATGTTCAGGGTGGAGGGGATACTATCCTGAGTGCAGCCTGGAGGGTCGCTGGCGGTAATGCCACAGCAATTGGCCGTAGCTCTGGCGTGTTAGCGGAAGCCACCAGGGCTGTACCTGGAAGTCCTACTGAGTTTGTTTGGTGTTTTTCTACTGAAGAGACCACCAACAAGTAAGGGAGCGATAGTTCTGCTGAAGAGCACTGTAGGAGGCTCAGCGTTTTGTGTTTGTTTCCCTAATTCTATGGTATTTTCTATCTGTCTGGCAGAGATCTTGTACAACCAGATAAACCTGCAAGTCCCAAGTTTATAGTGACGCTGGATGGTGTCCCCAGCCCCCCAGGATACATGTCAGATCAAGAGGAGGACATGTGCTTTGAAGGAATGAAACCTGTAAACCAAACTGCAGCCTCAAACAAGGGACTCAGAGGTCTCCTCCACCCACAGCAGTTGCAGTTGATGAGCAGGCAGCTCGATGACCCAAATGGTAGCTTTTTAAATGGTGTGTTGAGAGCTCAGATTTTCCCTTTCCAGGGTGCTGTCATTGTGCAGGAAATCTGGGACCGGTCTCTTTACCTGGAATGAATATTGGTTGGAGGCTTCGCTTTTATTTGTAATTCAGTAGTGGCTTTTTTTCTTTTCTCAGACAAAACAATGAGTTGCATTTGAGACTGTCCTGTGTGTGTTTCTTACTGGGCTGCTGCTCCAGTGCTGTCATGGGGTTTACCTCTTAACCAGGCCTGCTAGAGGATGAACTATCATTCTTGCTACACTGTTTACTTTTTTCCTTTAGAAACTACACTTGTTCCTTTCCCCATAACAGCAAGAGTCTCTCCTAATTAACTTGACAAAAAATTGAATTTGGATTTTGATTCTTATTTTACCTCAGTAAAATTCCTTTGAAAGGAGTTTCTCACCTAATCTGTCCAAGATATTGCATGGAAGTTTAGTAAAGACCTTATGTTTAAATTAACTAGTATCAAAGCACTTAGTATTTAGAAGTAGGATGAACTTTGTATAACAGCCTGCTTTTTAGGCAGATGACTCTGTATCACTCACTTTTCTCTCCCTGGTCCTGGTGTCAGGTGCACATACTGCTGCACATTTTTGTCTGTGACAGAGAATGGTAGTTGTGTACTCATATCTTGTAAAATGTTTAGAAACACCTTCATTGGGAGAGGAGACAGTTACTGAAATTTAAAAATGAATAGTATCAAAGAAAAAACAGTAATGGGGTTTTGATATTTTTCTAAGTTAATCCTCTTGGCAGAGACTTGAAGATGGATTCAGTACCTTTTTCAGTCTCTAAAAAATATAGCCTGTAGTGGGGAGATCGGGAGTGAGTGAGGAGATTGTCGCACTGAATACTCTTTAGGCTGAGTTAATAATGTCCTCGTTTTGATTGGTGGAGGGAGGAGATGACAGTCTGACCCTATCAAAAGGAAGAAAAAAAATTTTTTTAAAGATTTTATTTGAGAGAGAGAAGCATGAGTTGGGAGGGGAGGAGGAGGCAGAGGGAGAAGCAGACTCCCTGCTGGGTAGGGAGCCTGATGCAGGGTGCAGGGTTCGACTCAGAACTCTGGGATCATGACTGGAGCTGGCAGTGGATGTCTGACTGAGCCACCTAGGCAACCCAGAAGAAAAAATTTTAAATGATGATAAAAGTGGCCGAGGATTGCCATAGTCCTACAGTACAGATTTCTCCCATTTGTCTCAAATGAGAGAAAAATTAGGGTCAGCTTTTGTTTGCATGCAGATGTGTGAGTTAGGCTTTACTGGTGTGTACTACGTCCTCACAGTGCCCCTCTGGAACGTGTTAGACTTCTCGCCTAGGGTTCATGAGTTGTGGCCCTTCTGGAGGGCAGGGTGATGAGCGGCGAGCCTCCTGTACCATTGCTTTGATCTGGGACTCACTGGTTCACTGCTGCCGGAGGATGAAGCTTTGCCGAAGTTAGAGCATAAGTGAGGCCCGAGGGACTCCAAATAACAGTCACAAAGAGGCTCTGGTCTCCCGCCATCCAAGCAGGGAATTTGAAACTTCGTGAGTGCTTTTGCTGGCAAAAAGTCCAGTGTTTCGAGGCGGCTATCAGCAGCACTCCCTGCCTTCCCCTGCCCATTGAATGGCAGCACAGATTTTTTTCTTTTTCTTTTTTTCTTTTTTTAAGATTTTTACTTATTCATGAGAGACAGAGTGAGAAGACAGAGGCAGAGACACAGGTTGAGGGAGAAGGGCTCCCTGCAAGGAGCCCGATGCAGGACTTGGTCTTGGATCCTGGGAATCATGCCCCAGGCCAAAGGCTCAACTTCTGAGCCACCCAGGTGTCCTGGCAGCACAGATTTTTGTAGCTTGTAGCAAAAAATGAATTTGCTTAATCTTAAAAGTATTAATGGCTTTTGAAGTAAATGTTGGGGAAAACCGGAGTCAGACCTCTGTGTATATGATCTAACATTTCTAGTAGAAGGATAATGTTTCCTTGTAAAGTATTTAACTATTTTAATATTGCCAAGGAGTATCTGCTCCATTTTCCAACCGACCTGCACTTGGGTGTTCTGTTAACTTGTTTCATGTGGACTGTGTTCCCATGTATATACTGTAGACTAACGTGTGTTCCTTTGGAGGAGGGTAGGACGCCTTTCCACAGGCAGGATATCAGAAACCTTTAAAATTGGAGAAAACAACTCTTCCCGGTCATGCAGGTTTTTATTGGCAATTAAGGATACTTTTATATCCTGGAGCTAAACAGTGACTACTATTTTAAGAGCAGGATGGAAAACTGTGTATCAGGCATAGTTTTACAGTAGCTCTTTGGTCCTCCTGTCTGGCTCCAGGACTGGGTTTGTGTCTTGTTCTCCCTGCATTGAAGACCGAGGTTAGGTCACTGGATCAGTATGTTCTCAGGATACCACTACACTGTTAGGTTGCTTACTTTGCAGTTTTGTTTCCTTCAATCATAAAACTTCTAAGGAAGACGTTCTTTTCTTTTTGCATAGATAAGGAGACTTGCCCACAGTGTCTAGCTCAGCTAAGCTACAGAGTCAGAACTGTCTGATCGCAGGCGAAAGGACTAGAGCAATGTGGTTGAAGTGATACTTGGTTTTATAATTATGAATGTGAACCCTATGTAATACCCGTGATGGCTTTTTAAAAATTTTTTAAAGCTAGGGTGTCTTGGTTCAGAAGTTGGAGGTCATTATGGTGTTTGGACATGAATTTATTGGGCTATTCTGTTTCAAATATACATCGTTGCCAGTATTTAAACTTGCATGTCATGTAAAAAGGTTTTAAGCTTTCTCTGAATTGGGAGACAATCTGGCAACCTGGGGCCTGCTTTCCCACACACTGGTGATTGATTACACTGTCGTTGGACACAACCTTCAGAGGGAGTGGCAGGCAGTGAGCCCGTGGATGGTGCGTGCACGTGCTCTCCTGGCTGCTCTTACCCCCCTGGGTTTCCTCCACACCAAGGCTGTCTGCCTCTGATCATCTTAGACCCAGCCACACTCCCTGCTTGGTGATCTGCAGGTCCCTGGAGGTGATGGCATTTTGTGATCCGTTTTAAGCAAAAATACTTTTCCTATTGATGTGAGTTTTTATCATCTGGACTTTGAACTGTGTATATACCTCAGTGACTGGGAATGCTTTTGTGTATGATCCACTCATCATGGTGTCTGGACAGGAGAATTACTAGCTCACGTGTGTGTGTGTGTGCGCGCGCTTAAGATTCACTTATTTGAGAGAGAACATGAGCAGGGGGAAGGGCAGATTTTAAGCCGGACACTTAACTCACTGAGCCACCTGGGCGCCTCATTTCATGTTCTTTCTCACCTTGTGTTTGCAGTTTTTCTTTTTATTGGCTCCCTACTTGGCATTCTTCCCTCTCATTTTATTAATTCAGCTCTGAAGTAATATTGAGCACTGGGGCTTGGGGGAGAACTTTGGCTCTAGTTGCAGCATCCCTGTCTGCTCTGCTTTTCACAGTGAGAACCGCAGTTGACTTCCTGGTGACCTTTTCTAACAGGCTCTTAACCTGTGTGAACCAGAATATCGGACTCGTTTATTTTGTATGACTGTAGTAAACCTAGAAGATGTAAGATTTTAAGACTGAGTTTTAAATGTATTAAAGGTGCCATGTACTGAATTGATCATACTTCATGAGATACTTTTCTTTCCTTTTCTAGCTGAAATGAGTGAACTGAGTGTGGTCCAGAAGCCAGAAAAACTTCTGGAGCGTTGCAAGTACTGGCCTGCCTGTAAAAATGGGGATGAGTGTGCTTACCATCATCCTGTTTCACCTTGCAAGTGAGTAGCAACAAGCTGATTCTGATTTTCAGGTTAATTTCTAGATCTTAGAGCTTACTCCATTTGTTTTCTGTGAACAAGTTTGACTTGTATGCCTGAATGCTGTGACACTTAACCATTGTCCCCCAGAGTAGCACACTTGTGTAATAGAGGTGTGTGTTCGTTTGAGGGAGTGGGGAGGTGGGAGGAGGCTTCTCTGTACCTTTAAGGAGATGTTTCTGTAACTGCCCTGCTTTGTATGTGTTGTTCATAGACCTATTCACAGCTTTTAAGGCACTGGGGAAAAACTAGTTACAGGTCATGACAAAACATTTTGGACTTAGTTGGCTGGTTCAGTGGCATGAGCTTTTGAGAGATGGCTTTTATATTTTAAAAATACGTGTATATTTTTTGGGCCCTAGAGGTGGAATCTCCATATTTTGACTTCCTTATGGAAGTTTTGATGTGAGAATAATTTGGATATACATGGAGGGAGACCACAGGATGAGTCTCTTTCTCGCTCTTTTTTTTTTTTTAGTGGTGCTTTGCTGCACATATGTTATGCTCAGTATATTGCGTTTGCTTCATAAAATATTGCAAATATGAATCTTAAAGAGTAAGTGGTGTGATTCTTAACACAAAAAAAATGCCGTTGTCTTTCATGGTCGTGACTTAAGTTGAAAATCTTTTATTACCCTAGGCTTTGGAACAGACGACTATGTCTTTTGAAATCTGGCCTCATTTAAAAATTGAGTTTCCCAGGGCACCTGCTGGCTCAGTCAGTAGAGCATGCAAATCTTGATCTCTGTGTTGTGAATTCAAGCCCCATGTTAGGCACAGAATATAGTTTAAGAAAAAATGGGAGTTTCCCTTTTTACTATACTGTGTTTCTCAAAACAAGTAGTAAGGAACCTTTCTACAAAAAAACGAATGATGCACTGAGAAGATTAAATGTGAATAATGTTTTTTGTTTTATAGAGCCTTCCCCAATTGTAAATTTGCTGAAAAATGTTTATTTGTTCATCCAAATTGTAAATACGATGCAAAATGTACTAAACCAGATTGTCCCTTCACTCATATGAGTAGAAGAATTCCAGTACTGCCTCCAAAACCAGGTTAGTGATCCTATTATGTACTACTAAATTTAGGTAAAAAAGGGAAAATGACATTTTGAGATTATAAACAGTTTAAAAGGAAAAAAAAAAAGGAATAATTTTAGAAATTATGTCAGAATCAATTAACCTAACCAGTCTTTAAAGAGTAGGCGTGCCAGTTTAGGATCATTCTGAAGTATTTTATCTAATGAATATATAGATTTTCTCCTATATTAAAAATGGTTCTCATAAAAATATCGGATTGCATTACAAAATATTCTTCCAAATTTGATCAGTCTTTGTCCTCGTTCTTGTCAGCAATTGCAACACCAGCACCACCTTCTAGTACTCAACTGTGCCGTTATTTCCCTGCTTGTAAGAAAATGGAATGTCCCTTCTATCATCCAAAAGTAAGAATTTTCATTTTCCCAAAAATTATTAAAATCAGTGAGAAGTTTTCAGTTCTGAGGCCTGGAAGAGCACTAGCAAATTGAAGGTCATGTGTGCCCACGGTCTTCCCCCCACCTCTTCCCTGCCCCACGTCACTGTTTTTGTAAGGGAGTTAACATTCCGGTCTTGAAGACCTCGAGTTTTCTTAGTTGCATGAGCTCCTATCTGGTTCTTTCGGGCAGGTGGTCTGAAACTGAGGTTCGTATTCTGAGCTCTTAGTGAAACTCCCCTTTGCTTTAGTGTTCCCATTCCTCTCTGCCCCTAAAAGTGTGGGTGGTTTGTGGAGTGTTTTTCCTCCCCACCTCACGTCAAACTGAGATGATGAAATCCAGTAGTGCTTGTACTGTGATGGTCTAGATCGTCTGTGTGCTAAAGATGGACGCATCTGCACCTGTTTATTGCTCAGAGTGAATGATCCCTCTGAACTAGAAGCCTGAAGGCTGCCTGAAAGGCCTCACTCCCCTCATCTGCGGTTGGGTGTCAGTGAGGGTGTCCAGGGCTCGGTGGATAGAGGGATGCTGGGCTGATGTGCAGGGTGGAGAGAGGTTTGTATTGTATATGCAAAGGTTCTTTTTGAAATTTTACTGTTATTCTCTGACTAGAATTTTGTGTTTGGGGGCAGGGGTGTTCATCTTTCCAGGTCTTAGTATTAAAATACTGTTAGACTGTATATTTGGTGCCATCATATGTTTGTCTCAAATTGCCTTGTTTTTATTTGCATTAGCTTTGCAAACATTGAGATTCTGTTGTTTGTATTTAGCACTGCAGATTTAACACTCAGTGTACAAGACCTGACTGCACATTTTATCATCCCACCATTACTGTGCCACCACGACATGCCTTGAAATGGATTCGACCTCAAACCAGGTAAAGATGAAAGAACAGCTTTTCTAATAGCCACATGTTCTTAAATTTTCTTTTTTAAGATTTTATTTATTTATTCATGAGAGAGAAAGGCAGAGAAGCTCGGCTCCATGCAGGGAGCCCGATGCGGGGCTCTCGATCCTGGGTCTCCAGAATCATGCCCTGAGCTGCAGGCGGCGCTAAACTGCTGAGGCACCCAGGCTGCCCTATGTGTTCTTAAATTTACAAAGTATACAGATTTGGAGGAAGTGATCATTTTCTCACTGTTGGAAACTGTTGCTTCCAAATTTTGTTTTACCAGCGATTACTTACTCACCTCAATAATCTCCAGATTTGATTTACCTTCTGAATATGTTCTGCTCACAAATATCCCATCAGTTTTCTTGGCATAAGGATGACGTGTATTGAAACTTTCCTAATCCTTTATGTAACTTATATATAATTACTGTTTTTTAAAAATCTGATATTTGGGATCCCTGGGTGGCGCAGCGGTTTGGCGCCTGCCTTTGGCCCAGGGCGCGATCCTGGAGACCCAGGATCGAATCCCACATCGGGCTCCCGGTGCATGGAGCCTGCTTCTCCCTCTGCCTGTGTCTCTGCTTCTCTCTCTCTCTCTGTGACTATCATAAATTAAATAAATAAATAAATAAATAAATAAATAAATAAATAAATAAATAAATAAATATCTGATATTTGTTGTGTGAAAATACTCTTTTTAGGCAGGTATATATGGATGTAAAGCAGTTAATTTTTTTTTTGTTTGTTCAGTGAATGACACTCAGTCCTCCTTGGCAGAAGATTGTGGAGTTTCCATCTACTGACGAAAATATTCTGCAGAACTTGTCAAATCTTTGAAACTTGGAATATATTGCTTTCATAATATGAAGTTGATTGCCTATCTGAAGTGTCTAATTTTTCAAGTTTGTAAGTTTATTAAGTGGTTTTAACATTGGGTGTTTTTTGTTGTTTGTTTTGACTCTGAAAAGACCATTTAAGGAAAAGCTGAATTCTATTAAAACATTTGAGGCGTGTTTGTACGATGCTATTTCAGGTATCAGCATTTACAATGTGGTGGTGGTGTCAGGACTGGGGCTACAGTGTCACTACTATGTATTTAGAGAGAGGAGCACTTTTATTCTAAAAAAGTTGGATTGCATTCACTTTTCCAAAGGATTATCCACTGTGAAAACAGAAGAGTGGCCAAAAGTGCAGAGGCAGCTTAAAACAGTCACTTGTTCCTTTCTAATTTTAAGTGAATTTAGTTTGAAAAGCATGATAATTAATACAGGCTGCTTTGTTTGGTAAATGGTTCTTACCTCCGGATAAAGATGGGTCAGGTAAAAATAGAATGGCCAATGCAAAAAAAGATGAAGAGTTCCTTAAAATGCTTTCATTTACTATTAACATAAACATACACTTTTTAAATAAATATTTGGGGGCTGAATTATCACAAAATCATACAAATTTTTTTTTGTTTTGTTTTTTTTACAATTCTATATACAGAATGTATCAGAAAACAGACTTTAAACTCACAGGATTAGAGCTATACATATATTCTCACATTCTGAAAAATAACATTTTCAGAAATAACTCCACAGAAAAGTTTTTAAATGTAAAAATTGGATTTGAATAGTATATTTTAAATGACTGACTACAGAAATCAGATGGGTAAAACTGAAAAACAGGACTAAACTTTTGGACTACTGATTCAGTACACAGTTTTCTGTTATGTGGTTTTTGAAGTAGTTAAGGCAAGAAGTGTCAGATGCTTTAGAAATAAATAACCAACGGATCACTGACCTTAAAGACTAAAAACAAAGCTGAAAGTGGTTAGAACAGATTGAATTAATGCAAAAGATAGAAAGACTCAAACATTCTCAGGACCAAATTAAACTTACAACAAAAAGGTTCATGGACTTAGTTCTATACCCAAGGGATAACGAAACAGGAGTAAAAGTCCATGTTAAAGAGCATGAAACCAGCAGTCTATGTTGTGGCCGTTGCTTTTCTCTTGGAAGCAGAAAGAAAGAACCAGCTACGAAAGTTGCACTTCGCGGTGCCAGTTCCTAAGACAAAAATATATGAAACCTTAGAAGAGGAACGACTGTGCACAGGAGAGGCTTGGGTGAGGTGAGCATCCCGCTTCATTCTGAAAAGCTGACTCCTTTGAATTTAAGGCATTTGTTCATTCCAGTGCTAAGTTTCTTCTGCAAAGATGTAGTTTAAGTTGTACTTCTAGACACTTAAGTGAACTTTGAGGGCCACTATTTATAAATGGCATTCATAATTCTACTACAGCAATGGGAAACAGGGCTTAAGTGGTTTGGTTCAGCCGTTTTACAAGTCGGTAACATGCTAACACTGGATATTTTCTGCCACTTAATAAACAGTGCCTGGAAACACACTGAAGAGTTAAGGTTACCTTTCAGCTGCTGGCATTTCTGGGCAAGCTAAGGTTGACTGTAGATTAAGTTATCCAACAAATGTTTAAAATGAACCACTGTCAAAGCATCACCACAAGGAAGGGAGCGAGTTGCTGGCGGTGCCCGAAGTCTCAGGTGACAGACTGAGGAGCTTAGATACAGCACACACATCACATGTAAATCTCTGGGTTAAAAAAAAAAAAAAAAAAAAAAAAGACCACCACCACAGGGCCAACTCCTCATGACCTGTCTTGGTCACTCACCTCCCCTTCGCTGATGGTGGTATAATATAAACACGGTGGCTGCGGGAGGACTACCTGCACTCAACGTGAGTGAAGTGCTGGAGCTGACGACAGTCACAGGCTGCCTTCTCAGCTGGCCACGTGGAGGAACAGAGCTGCCGTGGAAGCACTTTTGTCCTATACGGTTCACTTGCTTAAGGTTAGAATTAGCGTTTCTACCTGTACTAATGGAAACGGGATTTCTCTGTAGCCAAAAGCCGGCAAGCCTTGGCTCAGAAGGAACATCTGAAACTGCAAGAGCCTGAAGACAGGGCAGGGGGAGAGGGTGGTTCAGGGGAATATAATTTATTGAATGGCTTTTAATGATCTACACAGATAGAAATTTAATATTAGTGTACTCTAAAATTTGACTTCATTTAGGAGAATCCACCGATGTGAATATGATCTTATGTTTGAAGCTTCTTCATGCCTTAATCAGTCCTTTAGACACAGCTACTGCTCGGTACTCAGTCACCCGTCAGGCTCTCTGATGCCATTCAGCCGTTTTCTGTTGTTAGTATTTACAAGGTGTTGGGCATACAAAATAGATCAGGAATCTTCATGTCTGGTCAAACCAAACTTCCAGAAACCTGAAGGGGTCTATTATGCTACAAAGATAACACATTAAAATAAAAATTCTTAGGACCAATAGAGCATCTTCAACTTTTTCACACTTAGAAAAATATATTTTTAAATAGCAATCTACATAATCTCCAATCTTCAGGAAACTACAGACAGGCTAAACAGCAAATTCCTGAACGGCAAGTACTGATCTTTGGCAGCGTTAAAGTGAATAGGGATAAAGGTCTAAGTGAAGCCCTAATCCACCAACAAGGAATTTTAATGGACAAGTTTACAAGTGGACCTGTATTCATTCTTTTTGGAAGTCAGCCTATGGGGTGGCATAATTTTTCCAGTAGAAAAAAAAAAGCTATAAAAATTTTATTTCAAGGGCTACTAAGTTGTTTAACTTGGTAAATGTGACCTTGAACACTTCAGTGTTTGTTATATCACATCTTCAAATATTCAGTATGCTCTCCCAGTTAACTACTATCGCCTAAAACTTTAATTTGTACACCACTGGAAATGACTTCATTGTACTACTTTTTCATTAATGAAGCTATAATTGTGTTTCAGTTTTTCAGCTTAGAGGCTAGGACTTCTGAACAGAAAAGGATTGACAGCTCAAAAATGAAAATGTAGTGATCATATACTACTAACTTTGGATTTATTCCTGAATGTAAAACTGCCAGGAGGAAAATGTCCTTTATAAAAAGAGGTTTCTGGGTGCTTTAGCATTCTATTCTCAGTAAAGCTTGTGTGTATCTCCTTGGGGAAAAACAATGTTTGCCTTTTAAAAACTGTGATCCTCTAGGGTGTGTTTCATCTCCTCATGTAAACACAAGGATAAAATAAGTCATTAAATAATGAACCTTGGAAATAAAATATAAATTCTAAAAAAGAAAACGTTTTGGTAAAGAGAGGATGAAAATGATGCAAGTCGAGTTTTTAAGGTGGTTTTTGAGAAATGCTGTCTCTTGAACGTCCCTAGCAGCCCTGCCAAGTTTGCACACTCTCCCAGAATGGGGGGCTGGCTTTCACGGAGTACGGACTCAGCCCCTTCTGGAAGTAACTATCTGGCAGTGAATGGATTATGGACAGTTAGCCAGTGCATACAGCAAACAGTCTGAACTTATCTGTCTTCTATTGTGATGACTCTGGGCATCTGTTACAACCCTAAATTAGCACCACTTGCCCACGCAAGGTTTGGTTCTGTTGTTTTTTTGTTGTTCCTCTTCTGTAATTCTGGTCTCTCAAGGCTGTTCGTTACATGGAGTCTACTCAGCATCCATAGCTTTCAGTGAGGCATATGTACACATTTCCAGACAAATAAACTGCAATCCAAAAAAAAAAGCAGTGAGTTCATTATATTTCTAGATTTTCAGAAATTTAATGAGCTTTCAAATCATACCTATATAAAATTTTTCATTAACTCCTTTTATTTTGTACTTCCATAGTTTGCACCTCCACCCCCAGGCAGCCACCCTGTTGTCTACCTTACATGTTGCTGACTCAGAGTCTACGATATACTGATGCGAAATCTCTTACTACCTCATGAGAGATGGTCTGCTCTTTTTTGGGCTGAGAAAGCTACCAACCTGCAGTCATCCCCTCCAGCACTGATGACATGTCGATCACCGCTGGTAAATCGAATATTTGTCACATGAGGTGAATGACCTAAGAACCTTTTGTGCTTTGCCTGAAAAGCAATGAAAAACAAAAGGGCTAATCACAGCTTTATTAGGATAGTTTGCAAAGATGGAGTTACCTGCAGGCATGGGGAGATAATCTCTAAAAGCTTTTATTTCAGAGTAAGGGATTAGTAAGTTTCAAAAAACATTTTAGGAACATGTATTAAAAAATGTCTCCGAAATCAGGAGACAGTAACATATTTAACTATTAAATTATGGGGAAAGAGGTACTAATCTAAGTTGCTAGTAAAACTACATAAAAAAATTAAAGCAGACTTACAAATTTTTCAGGACACGGGAAGTCAAATAACTTAACCATGCCAAAGTCATCTCCTGTCACAAGGCTGATTCCTGAATGAGATACGCAGGCACAGTTGACATTGGCTTTCTCAGCGTGTCTGGACCAGATTCCCATGACTTCATCCCCTAGAATACTAGAGGGAAGGAATAAAAGAAAGTCCATCATAGCAAACAGATGAATTACCAAAAAAGCTTTTTGGTAATTCATCTCTACATCTCTACTTAATATGTGATTTAAAATTAAAAGATGCTTATGCTTTAGGAATTTAAGTTTTAAAAAATCAAAAAATTGGCTTCTCATGGTTACTGTAATACAGCAAACTTAAAAGGTCCCATTTCTAATAGCTTCAAGATAGCATTTAGATAATGCAATTGCTTCATAGTACCCAGTACATGGTTTTATTGCCTATGATTAAGCCTCATGTGTTAAGGAAAATATCAGGGCATCTTTAAAGGCTTTTAACCTTGATAAAAGCATGCGAGTGTGTTCAGTGAAAAGGAATCCCAGTTGAGCCCATCGTTCTCTTAGGAAGAACTCAAGATAGGTAATAAACTTAAAACTCAATTACTACTCCCCAGCAGGATGGCTCTATTCAGAAGTAGGATTTTCCAGTCTTCCTGACTGACCTTTGGTCCTTACCTAGTCCACGTAGCCCAAGTGATCCTGTCCATGGTGGCGTGGTCCATGACGGGTTTTCCTGAAGGCACTTCATAGACCTGCCGTTTATAGCAACCAGTGGAGACCTTTTGTGGTATTAAAATGGGACGAGAATTCCATTAC